GGATAGATCTTCAAAAAAAAATATCAAAAACAATACTGTGGCATTGAACGGTGTCCTAGATCAAATGGACTTAACTGATATATAAACACACACACAAACATGTATATAAGCATTAAAATAAAAAAAAATAAAAAAAAAAAAAAAAAAATATATATATATATATATATATATATAAACTGATACACACACATATACTTTTCATCCCAAAGAAGCAAAATGCATATTCTTTTAAAATATACCTGGAACATTTTCAAAGATAGATCACATGATAGAACACAAAACAAGCCTTAAAGAATTCAAGAAAATTGAAATCATATCAAGCATCTTCTCAGACCACAAGGGCCTGAAACTAGGGACCAACCTCAAAAAAAAAACCCCCTCAAAAAACATTCAAATTCATGGAGACTGAATAGCATGCTATTAAACAATGAATGTGTTAATAATGAGACCAAGGAAGAAATCAAAATGTTTCTGGAAATAACTGAAAATGAACACACAATGCCCCAGACCTATGGGACACAGGGAAGGCAGTTCTGAGAGGGAAGTTTGTAGCAATACAGGCCTACCTAAAAAAGATAGAAACATTTCAAATGAACAACCTAACCCTACATCTGTAAGAACTAGAGGAATAACAACAAAGCCCAGAGTGAGTAGAAGGAAGGAAATAACCAGGGTCAGGGCAGAATTAAATGACATAGAAACTAGAACAATTTAAAGGATCAGTAAACCCATGAGCTGGTTCTTTGAAAAGGTAAACAAAATCAACAAGCTTTTAACCAGTCTCATCAAGACAAAAAGAGAGAGGACCCAAGTAAATGCAATCAGAAATGAAAGAGGAGAAATTACAACTGAGATACAAAATATCTGAGGCACCCAGAAATACAAAGGATTGTAAGAAATTACTACAAACAACTATATGCCAAGAAATTTGAGAAACTGGTAAAATGGGCAAATTTCTACAAACATGTAATCTTCCAAATTTAATCTTCTTAATTAAGAAGAAGCAGAAAGCCTGAACAGACTGATAACAGCTAGTGAAAACAAGCAGTAGTCAAAAAACTCCTGGCACAGAAAAGCCCTGGACTGGACTGTTTCACAAAAGAATTTTACAAAACTTTTAAGGAAGAGCTAACCACTATCCTTCTCAAACTCCTCTGAAAATCCAAGAAGAGGGAAGACTCCCAAACTCTTTTTATGAGGCCAGCACATCCTAATCCCAAAACCAGATAAAGACACAACAACGAAAGAAAACTATAGGCCAATATTGCTGATGAATATAGTTTCTAAAATCCTCAACAAAATATTGGCAAACTAGATCCATGTTTTTACATTACAAAGATTATACATTAAAAAGATCATACATCATGATCAAGTGGGATTCATCCCAGGAATGCAAGGATGGTATAATATTTGCAAATCAATAAACATAAACCATCACATAAACAAAAGGAAAGACAAAAATCACATGATCATATCTATAGCAATTGATAAGGTAGAGCACCCATTTATGATAAAAACACTCAACAAAAGGGGAGTAGATGGAGCATTCCTCAACATAATAAAGGCCATATACAAGAAACCTATAGCCAACATCATACTCAGTGGGCAAAAACTAAAAGCTTTTCCACTAAGATCAGAAACAAGACAAGGGTGTCTGCTTTCACCACTTCTATTCAACATAGGATTGGAAGCCCTAGCCTCAGCAATTAGATGAGAAGATATAAAAGGCCTACAAACTGGAAAGAAGGCAGTAAAACTGTTCTTGCAGATGACATAATAGTGTACATAGAGTAATATATGTGCACTATATAGTATACACAGAATAGGACATGTACATATAGTATAGACTCCACCAAAAAAAACCTACTCAACCTATTAAATGAATTTGGCTAAATAGCATGATACAAAGTAAATATTCAGAAATCTAAGGCATTTTTGTATACCAACACCAAAATATCAGAAACAAAAATCAGGAAAAAAATCCCATTTGAAATAGCAACAAGAAAAATGAAGTACCTAGGAATAACTCTAACCAAAGAGATAAAAGACTATACTCAGAAAATTGCACAAAACTAGTGAAAGAAATTAAGGAAGAGACAAATTAATGGAAGCATATACCGTATTCATGGATTAGAATTAACATCATCAAAATATCTATACAACCCAAAGCAATTTATAGATTCAATGCAATCCCTATTAAAATACCAAAGGAAAAAAATACCAAAGAGATATTTCACATATATAAAACAAATATTTCAAAAATTCGTATGTAGCCATAAACAACCCCAAACAGCCTCAGCAATTATGAGAAAGAACTACAAAGTAGGAGGGATTACCATACCTGACATCAAACTATATTACAAGGCCACAGTAATCAAACAGTCTGATACTGGTATAAGAACAGACACATAAATCAATGGAACACGATAGAGAGCCAGGAAATAAACCAATGTCTCTAAGGTCAACTAATATTCGATGAAGAAGACAGAAGCATAAAGTGGAGTAAAAAAAGCCTCTTCAACAAATGGTGTTGGGAGATCTGGACAACTACATGCAAAAAAATGAAACTCGACCACCAATTTACACCATACACAAAAATAAACTCAATATGGATAAAAGACTTAAATATAAGTTGTGTCACCATAAAAGTACTAGAGAAGAACACAGGTAGAAAAACTTCAGATATTCCACACAGCAACATTTTCACTGATATGTCCCCCACAGCAAGGGACATAAAGGAAAGAATAAACAAATGGGACTACATCACATTAAAAAGCTTCTGCATGACTAAAGAAAACATCAGCAAAATGAAAAGGGAACCAATCATATGGGAAAACATATTTGGCAATGATACCTCAGACAAGAGTTTGATCTCCAGAATATATAAAGAATTCACACAACTCCATACCAGGAAGACAAACAATTGAATTAAAAAATGGGCAAAGGACCTGAACAGACACTTCTCTAAGGAGGACACATAGAGGGCCCAGAGACATATGAAGGGATGCTCAGTATCAGTAGCCACCAGAGACAGAGAGCTACAAATTAAAACTACAATGGGATACCTCTTCACACTGGTGAGAATGGCCATCATAAACAAATCAACAAACAATAAGTGATGGCAAGGTTGTGGAGAAAAGGGAAGCCTAGAGCACTGTTGGTCGGAATACAGACTGGTGCAGCCACTGTGGAAAACAATATAGAATTTCCTCAGAAAACTAAAAATGGAACTGCCTTTTGACCCTGCAATTCTACTTCTGGGATTATACCCTAAGAATCCTGGAACACCAATTTAAAAGAACCTATACACCCCAGTATTTACAGCAGCATTATTTACAATAGTCAAGTGCTGGAGACAGCCTAAGTGCCCATCAGTAAGTGAGTGGATCAAAAAACAGTGGTACATTTACACAATGGAATACTACACTGCAGAAAGAGTGAGGGAACTCCTACCCTTCACAACAGCATGGATGGAACTGGAGAGCATTATGCTGAGTGAAATAAGTCAAGCAGTGAAAGACAAATACCATATGATCTCACCTATAAGTAGAATCTAATCAACAAAAGAAACAAGGAATGGAGAGGGGGATAGTGAAGAAAGGGAAGGGTTAAGTCAAGGAACATGTGTAAAGGACCCATGGACAAAGCCAAAAAAGGGTAGGATTGAATGTGGCAGGTGGGGGTGGGTAGAGCTGGGGATAGTAATGGAAAAATGGGAACAATGGAAATTAAACAACAGAAAAAAAAAGAATATGAAAGTTGGATTAAAAGTAAAAGAACACATTTACCTAGCAATTAGATTGCTAAGACCAGGGTTTCTTCTAATTTACCAGTTAAATTTACAGATGGACATTACCAGTGGTATTTACAGCTTGATAGATGCTGTGAGTGTTGATGGTGTTTATTGTACTATTCAAGAAGAAACAGTTTCTCAGAAGTTTAGCACTTAGCTTTATGTTTAAGGACACTAGCCTGAGGGAATGTGTCAGTCAAATCCCCTACTATATCATAGTTTTAAAATCAAAGTAATAAGCAATAAAGAGAATCCAGAATGAAGTAAAATGGAAATATGGAGTCATAAATAATAGAAATGGCAGTAAAGAAAGTCTAAAAAGTGGAGGGAACGGATAATGTAAGTAAAGTAAAACTAACTCAAATGCATTTTCACAGGCTGTAAGAATCACGGTGAGAAACATATGGTACATAAATCACAAGAGGTCTTTTGTAAATTGACGGGCAAGATTTTTAAAAATTATCAAAATGAATGAATTTTAAAGACTTTATACCCATAAAACAGCAGTAAAGAAATAATAGCATTGTTAAGTGTTTAAGATCAAAGGGGAACATATACTTGGATATGTCGATTCCTTAAGTTTTTTAAACTACCCCATTCTCATAAATATTGCTCCCTACCAATGATTTAGGTTATTAACTTTTTCTAAGACTGACGAGACAAAAACTAAGAAAAATTATTTGAATGTGGGTATCTGGAAAATCTACTGTTTTACCTACTAGTTGGACCTTAATGTTGGAGGGATATGTGTTAAGGAGAGCCAGTAAAACCAGAGAATGGGGTCAATCTTTCCTCTTGATTTGTAAGAAAACTTGTATACATAGAAGTTTATCAATTTCCTGCAATTAAAAGAGAATAAACTACACATAAGATGAATTAATTTGGAACACTGCCCCTACCTTTCTCTTTTCTGCCCAGTGAGTTAGTGTACCACGCTCACGACAGCAACTTTATCTGTGGGGAATTAAGTTCCCTTTATGAGCAAGAGAGTGTATGCCAAAGGACCTGGCAACGCTACAACCGCACCTCCAGTTCCGGCCGTGTCCCCGACTTCAAAAGCCCCAAACCAGAACCCAATACAGAAAGCACAGCCGGGCTCCCGAGGCCTGGGAACCCAGAGCCGCGCGCTCCTCCTCTCTGGCTGGGCGGAGCCGGCCCCTTCGGGAAAGTTGCCAGTGCAGACGCAGCGGGGGCTCAGTCTCTTGCGGACGCTCCTGAGTAGAGTGCACGGTAGGAAGCGCACTCACCGGGGCTCCCGGGGCAAGTAGGCAGCCTACGGGGATCCGCGTCCAAGGCCAGCGTTGGAACGCGCCGCCCTCAACCCGCACAGTCCCCTCGCGCTACCCAGACGTTTCCAAAAGAGGTCGAACCAGCCGGACAAGTCTTACGCGCCACGACTCCCGCCGGCAGCAGGTGGCCCCGGACTTCCCGCTGTCGCTGAAGCCCGGGCGCACAGTGCGCCACGCTGCGTCCCGGAGCTCTCTCAGCCGCCCCGTCGGCAGGGATGGAGGCGGACGGGGACCAGGAGGAGCTGGCCCGGTTGCGGTCAGTCTTTGCCGCCTGTGACGCGAACCGCTCTGGGCGCCTAGAGCGAGAGGAATTCAGCGCGTTGTGCGCAGAGCTGCGCGTGCGACCGGCCGACGCGGAGGCTGTGTTCCAGCGGCTGGACTCCAACCGAGACGGTGCCATCACGTTCCAGGAGTTCGCGCGCGGCTTCCGTGGGGCCCGCCGCGGGGGGCGGCGTCGGGTCGGCGGGCTGCCAGAGCCAGCGCCCACGGAGTCCCAGGCTGGGTGGGACCCCGGGAACAGCGAGGAGGAGGAGGAAGACGAAGGCAACGAGGGGGCGGCAGCGGCAGTGCTGGCAGCCCCCTGGGGCGCGGTGGGCCCCAGCCAGGCTTGGCAGGACTTCCAGGCGAGACTTGGGGAAGAGGCCAAGTTCATTCCCAGGTGCGTGTCTGGGTTGGAGGGCTGGAGGTGAAAATGGTTTTTCCTGTGCTGACCCACCGGACCCTACTCTGTGAGTTGCTGTCCTCCATTCACCGACTCACTAACTTTTCCAAGACCGAGATCCCCTAAGAGTTAAGGAAGGAGAATGCATTCATAATCAGGGTTTAGGGGACAAAGTTTCATGTGCTCATTTCTGAGCCCTGCAAAAGGCTCTTTGTTAATTACACGAGACAGAGTGAAATTCTCAATGTCTAGAGACTCCTCCAGGACATGGGTTTAGGAGCGCCGGCTCCTCAATGACCTGCTTATGTCACTTACTTGGAGGACTTCCGGGGAGGCGGGAGCGGTGGTGACTGGGGCCCTTTGCCAATTCGGTGTTCTCTGTAGCAGTTTCTGCATATGTTGTTTTCCTACTACTAAGTAGAAGAAGAGACATTGTTGGGTATTTATATTGCTGGACACATATTCATTGATGCCTACTGTGTGGTAGGCACATTTTACGGAGTTCATTTTAATTTTCAGAATAACCTTGGGAGGAAGACTTTCTTTGCTCTGACTGATGAAACTTAGACCCAGAAATTTATACTTGTAAAATATTAAAGGACTGGCCAATTAATAAAAGAGCAGGGATTTGATCCTAGATGTTGTAAATTGAAAAACTCTCTTTATATACAACAGAATAAAATGATAAAATCATACAATAAATTCTCTACTCCTATGGCTCCAACAGAAATAACGTTAATACAAAGTTACTAACTTAATTCTTAGCGAAAAAAGGAGTGCTTGCTGATTCAGGGCAGGGAGGTGAAGCTACTCAGGGAGTTTTTTGTTTGTTTGTTTTTGTTTTTCATCTGATTTTTTTTTTTTTGAGATTGGTTTGCATCTGTCTATTCCCGGTGCCTTGGTATGTCTCAGGCAGCTGCTATCACTTCTTCCTCAGGCACTGCAAACATGTGAATGCTGTCTTTTTTTTCTTTTTTGCTTTCTGCTTAGATTTTAGTTGAAGTTTTTAAGGGGCTCTGGCTGTTATTAAAAAAAAACTTGAAAGATTGTTTTGGTTGGCAGTTCACATACCTGAGACGTAAGACCCTGAAAAGGAAGGAGCCCTAGGAGGTTGCAGTGGCCTGACTTACCCATTCACCGAGTAGACCTGCAAGGCAGGGAGTCTTCACTTCCGCCTCCTCCCAGGTTCTCTCTCCAGTTTAGAAAGTACAGGGAACCCTGGCCTGGAGAGTGACTCACTGCAGTATAAGAGGGATTGTGTAGAGAAAGTGGGTGTGATACCCATTTTTTTCTAGTATTTACAGATGAGTTAAAATGCAGTGTCTCCACCAGGGGAGAGGAACAATTTAAACATTTGCTATAAACTATGCTCTTTGAATCACCTTTCATTTGTAACTTGGTTTGGGTCCGGCCAATTAAAAGGATACAATTTTAGGAATAAGGAAAGCTGTGTTATCATATTAATTTGATGTATATATATACACACACACATGTGGATCTGCTTTTCTCAGTTGTTAGGTCTCAGCAGCAGATACTTAACACTTAGATGATTAAAATGACCTTCCCAGGATCAGTGTACAAACCAGAACTTATTAGTATTGGTGATATTATTATTATCATGATACCTTTTCAAATTCCTCAAAGGTTATTAAATTTAATGGCTACTGGTGTCACTTGTTAGACTCATGTCCTAAGCCTCAATCCCTTCTGATGGGGCTTAACAAGTACAGTGTTTGCTTTCCTACTTGTGTGAGTGGAAAAGAACCAAACGGAGCTGCTTGGTCTGATTGTTACCATGGCAGCCATAACTGTTTTTGTAAATTGGATTGCTTCTATTCTACTTCCTTGTACAGTTGTGTCCTTCCCTTCCTACCATCCAAATGTGATAAAAATCTTTAGTTATTGATGATGTCATTGCCATTTTTTCAGCCAAATTAATTCTGCAAACATTATTGAGTATCTTTTGTGCCAGACACTATCTTAGATACTGTCCTAGGTCCCTGGAGACAAAGAGAGTGGTGAGATGTAGTTCATGCCCTCAAGAAGTTCGTAGTGTGGGTGAAATATTTTTCAAAAATTTCCGCGAAGACCATTTAAAGACAAGAGAGTTATTTGCAGGAAACTCCATATGTTGTGGATATAGCTCAGCAGACTGCTGCAAGCAGGTGCTTTCATTGAAGTCTTGAGTTTTTATATTTTAAAAAATCACATATTTGGTTGTCATTTTACTCCATAATATAGTGGAACTTGTTTTAATATAAAATATTATATTTTCTTCCAAAGGGAACTTGCTCTCAGGGAGTGTGCTGTTGCATCTGTTGGCTTTGTCTCCCTCCTGACACTCCACCTCCCTGCCGGTGGCACTCTGTCCCATGTCTATGGTGGGGGGTGGTGGATATTCATGTGCAGTTTGAGAACAAGTATCAGGTGTAAGAATGTTTGGTTCTTGTAGAGGCAAAACGTGGTAGTGATTTCCATTTCCAAGTTTATTCAAGCTCCTAGATCCAAATTTGCATTAAACTCCCAGTCATCAGTTACTATGATATTAGAAAATAATATTGCATTGTGAAAGGATGAAAGTGGTCTCTGGGATGCATGTCAACACATTCTCTTTTTAAAACACTTTTTAAAATTTTAATTGTTCTTCAAGTACAGTTTTCTGTCTTTTACTCCCATCCCAGCCTGTCCACCTACCCAGCCCTCCCTGCTCCCTCCCATTTCCACCCCACCTAGTTTTTGTCCGTGTGTCTTTTATACCTGTTCCTGTAAACCCTTCCCCTTTTCCCCTGAAATTCTCTCTCCTCTCACTTCTGGACACTGTCAGTCTGTTCTCTTTTTCAGTGTCTTTGTTTTTTTTCCTGCTTGCTTGTTTGTTTTGTTGTTTAGCTTCCTGTTAAAGGTGAGATCATATGGTATTTGTCTTTCAACACCTGGTCTATTTCACTCAGCATAATGCTTTCCAGTTTCATCCATGTTGTTGCAAAGGGTAGTAGTTCCTTCTTTCTCTCTCCTGCATAGAATTCCATTGTGTAAATGTACCATCGTTTTTTGATCCATTCATTTACTGATGGGCACCTAGGTTGTTGCCAGCACTTGGCTATTGTAAATTGTGCTGCTATGAACATTGGGGTGCATAGTTCTTTTGGATTGGTGTTTCAGGGTTCTTAGGGTATAATCCTGGCAGTGGAGTTGCCGGGTCAAAAGGCAAATCCATTTTTATTTTTCGGAGAAAATTCCGTATTGTTTTTCATAGTAGTTGTACCAGTCTGCAATCCCACCAACAGTGCACGAGGGTTCCCTTTTCTCCACAACCTCTCTAGCACATGTTGTTTGTTGCTTTGTTCATGATGGCCATTGTGACTGGTGTAAAATGGTATCTCATTGTGGTTTTAATTTCCATCTCTCTGATAGCTAGCGATATTGAGCGTCTTTTCATGTGTCTCTGGATTCTCTGTATATCCTCCTTGGAGAAGTGTCTGTTCAAGTTCTTTGCCCATTTTTTAATTGGGTTGCTTGTCTTCTTAGAGTGGAGTTGTGTAAGTTCTTTATATATTTTAGAGATTAAACCCTTGTCTGAGGTATCATTGGCAACTATGTTTTCCTATATGGTTGGTTCTCTTTTTATTTTAATACTGTTTTCTTTAGCCGTGCAGAAGCTTTTTATTTTGATGAGATCCCATTTGTTTATTCTTTCCTTAAGTCCCTTGATATAGGGGACATATCAGTAAAAATGTTGCTGCGTGAAATATCTGAGATTTCCCTGCCTATGTTCTCCTCTAGGACTTTAATGGTGTTATGGCTTATATTTAAGTCTTTCATTCACCTTGAATTTATTTTTGTGTATGGTGTAAGTTGGTGCTCGAGTTACATTTTTTTGCACGTAGCTGTCCAGTTCTTCCAACACCATTTGTTGAAGAGGCTATCTTTACTCCATTTTATGTTGCTGCCCCCTTTGTCAGATATTAATTGACCATAGAGACTTGGGTTTATTTCTGGGCTCTCTGTTCTATTCCACTGGTCCATGTGTCTGTTTTTATGCCAATACCAGGCTGTTTTGATTACAGTGGCCTTGTAATACAGTTTGGTATCAGGTATTGTGATCCCTCCTACTTTGTTCTTCTTTCTCAAAATTGCCTCTGCTATCCGGGGTCATTTATGGTTCCATATAAATTTTTGAAGTGTTTGTTCTATGTCTGTAAATATGCCATCGCTACTTTAATAAGGATTGTGTTGAATCTGTGAATTGCTTTGGGTAGTATGCACATTTTGATGATGTTAATTATTCTAATCCATGAACATGGTATATGTTTCCATTTGTTTGTGACTTCCTTGATTTCTTTTGTCAACTCATTCTTAAGTTTTATTCCTCTTAAAAACTGAGGACTCCTTCCCTTAAAGGCTGGATGGGGAGGGTCCCGAGCAGTCACAAGACCTGTTAACCTGAGCTGGGCATGTGTACATGGTATCCAGGGTTAGGATAGATGGTCAACACTTCTACTGAGTTGGAACCAGATCAGCCAGCAGATGAAACTAGAATGCACAAGGTGATGTGGTTATGTAAGAGAATTCCCGAAGGAAGATCATACTGAGAGGTATGATCCTGTTTGTGGGGAGGAAAACCCTTGATGTGGGGAGAGAACGTCTGGGTAGAGACAGAGAGCAGACTTGTAATAACATAGCCTGGCCAGTTTCTGGTGCCAGGGGCATGATCTTGGTGAAAGGGAGAGTCGTACCCAGTAGGTATTCAATAAATAGACTCAATAAATATGTCCTGGATGAATCAAATAAACCTGCCTTTAATTCCTTGGTTCATATACTGAGAAAGCATTTAGTTCATGCTCGGTGCCTTTTTGCATTTCTTTTGTCAATTCTCTATATTTTTTAGATTGTCAGTGTGAGCTGGTTGTGGTGCTCAGAGATTGGCAAGGAGAGAAGGAATCCTGTGCCTGTGGGTGCGCACACGCATTGATTATTTGACCAGGGGCAGGGACGGCAGA